ATGGGTAGCCATGGTTATTAAGTGCTAAAAAGAATTGGATAGTTCGTTGTTCTCAAAAAAAGAAGTTCCATGAATGTTTCTATCAATGGAAACAACGCTGGATAAAGTGTGTAGCTTCAAAAGGGGACTACTTTGAAGGAGATGAAATGCTGAAGGCATATTTATTTTAGTTTTCTTTTCGTAGTTTTTTTTTTTTTTTTATAGATTGTAGTTTTCTTTTTATATTTCTTTTTTATAGCACTAGACCGGATAATTTTGAATAGGCTTCTCATTATTGATTGATTTGTTTTCTACGGGTTATCAGCCATTTGTATGTTATTTAAAGCCAGAAAATTTTATTCGACTGTATCAATTTTTCTAAATAATAATTGCTTAGTGATAAAAGTCTTTAAAGCAATCGGATGTCTTGACACACTGATGAGCTGGGATACAGCGAAACAGGCCTGTATATACGTAAAGGTTAGACCGACCTGATGTAACCAAGGAATTTGTCCGAGCACTTTGCACGGACGTAGAGATAGAGACTTATATGTGTGTTAATGTGCGTGTTCAAGTTTTCAAAGCAATCGACAGTCTTTATTTATCTGAATTTGTTCTAAAGATTTATTCTGTCCACTCTTCCTACCAATAATCATAATTTGGGAGGCAGATCAGTGTGGTAGGCACTTTGATCTACTTTCGATCGGTATACTATGCGTGTGCATTTCATATCTGCAAGAAGCAATGTCCGAATGACGTCCTGCATTGGCGATAACAAGGTTGAGGTGATGATCTCTATCTTGTTCGGCAATCATTGCAAACGAGAGATTTCGTAAAATCGAGGTTAATAACTTGCAAGAAGTGAACTGACCCTCTAACCATGCGGTTAGGGACCCTACCTGATCAGACTCGTTGACCACAACTCACCGATATAGATGAATCAACATCAATGTCCATTAATATGAATGACTTTATTGAATTATTAAGAAGAAAGGACTTCAAAATACAAAGAATCTTTTATAAGAAAAACCCTCTTGGTATTGCAAGAATTATCAAATCAACTCACAGTCAATTATATTAGTTGCTTTCTCACCAGAGGGAGCCACAAAGCATGATCTGTTCCAAGTAGTGCTATCATACATATATATATATATATATATATATATATATATATATATATATATATAGATAGATAGATAGATATATTAAGACATTTTTATGTTTATAAATTCTTTTTATAGATACAAATATTTAACTAAATGCTCTGTTTATAAACATAAAAATGTCTTAAAATAATTGTCGGACTTTGTCCATTTCATAATGTGTGACGTCATTTGCTTACATTTGGATACGCATTGAGCAGATATGAATATACGTGAGAAAACCATGGAAGATTGCTGTTTAAAAACAGTCAAATCGACCTTGCTAAACGAACACTCCGCTGTGGCGAAATCGGTAAAAGCACGTCAAGCTATATGATGATTCCGTATAGGATACAGGTTCGATTCCTGTCGGTGGACGCATATTTTCTATGACAATTTCTCGGACATTCAGGCCGGTAAATGTTGCTAATACTGTTTATTATAAACAGAGTATTTACTTAAATATTTGTATCTATAAACTGTCTTAAAATAATTGTCAGACTTTCTCCATTTCATAATATATAACTAGAAATATAGTCTTAAGGTGACCTACATTTATGGGATAAAGTGCTTAATATAAGAGATAGATCGTATGTAAATATAAAAGTGAACATTGAAGTCAACACTCAGAGGCGACAGGCTGTTTCATCGTTTGACATAATCGTCAAGCCGGTCTGACGATTGGTGTCCAGCATGAAACAGTCTGTCACCTCTGAGTGTTGACTTCAATGTTCACTTTTTACACACACACACACATATATATATATATATATATATATATATATATATATATATATATATATATATATATATATATATATATATATATATATATATATATATATATATATATATATATATATATATATAAGCAAGATCTCGGTATTGTTTGTAACTTATTCTGTTCCTTAACCATTACTCTCTGGATTACGTCCACGCTCTACAAGTTTTCTTTTATTTATTCTTCAGATAATCTACTCCGGTCTTTCTTACTTAGATGGGTTGACTTCTGTGTCTTTTGTAATTTTTGTTTTCTAAAACAGCCACTGTTTTGTACTGATATCATTTGTCTACATGGCTGAACCTATGATGTTTGCACAGTTCTCAGTTTATGACTGTTACTGCCCCGCCATGCTTATTTTAGCATTCTTTTTCGGTTAGCTTTCTACATTTACTTGAGGCAGCTTTGATGTAATTTGTCCTAATTGTCATGTTTTGCGTCACAACATTCCGTAAATGCCGTTTATTTCTTCGAGTGTTCGCTACATGACCATATCCAGATGAATATTATTACCGTAATTCTCCATGTATAATACGCATTTTTTCTAAAAAATAATAAGCAAAATCAGGGGTGCGTATTATGCACAGCTACAAAAAATCTTTAAAAATTACCGTAAAATAAAATAAGAATTATCATAAAACTAAATTAGAATGATCTTCTATGTTTAGAACTATTTTTTAAAAATAAGTAGGAAACGCTGGCTGTAATGAACTTAGAGAGAAACAATATATAGGGTTTGATTACCAAACAAAGGTTGCGTAGTATGCATGAGTAGAATTTCAATTTTAGGTGCGCGTATTATGGATAAAGACGTATTATACTTGAGGTATTAGGATCTTGAAGCATCGAGTAACGAATGGGAGTAACTGATGTCACTTCAATATTTCTTATTTTTTTTATTATTGTTGTTGTTTCACCTTCACCAAGAGAAGCCTGGGTTCCGTCTGTAGTATTATGCTGGAATACGCTTGGCATTTAATTACATAGCAGACCAGACCAGAGCGTCAAAGAAAGCCAGGTTCCGAGTTGACCTGAGATGACCAGATAGAGGTGAGGATCTATTGCGAGTGGCGTCCCCGAAAGGTGAACACCTATGTACCTGACGGAGCCTGATATGTGCACTCGTGAAAAAATCGTTGTGTAGATGGATATATAAGGAAACCACCCAGAGTTCTCTCTCTCTCTCTCTCTCTCTCTCTCTCTCTCTCTCTCTCTCAGACAGGAGAATATCGAGTTTTCATGTCAGTCCGAGCGGGTAGGTGTAACGAGCCGTTCACACCACTGACTGATCGAGAGTAACTGACAAAATCTTACAGTGAATAAAATAAATAATATTTCATTCAATTCTAGTATTATCGTTTTGTAGAAATACACACTTTATTACTGTTGAGGGGTTCTCCCCTTTTTTACACAAATGGACTCACCCAGTATATATACATATACTACGGCTACGTAAAGACCCGAAAGAGCAAGACCGAAGAGTCAAGTCGAGTCCAGAGTGAGAGAGTAAAAGATTGTAGGTAACCGGAAGAGTGAGGGGTGAGGTAACAGCATTGTAGGAGTCACAGTGAACGAGCACATAGACTCAGTAAGAAGTCATCCAGCGATACTTCAATACCAGAGACTGTATATATATTTTGCTACTAACCCGTATTCCTGGAACTATTAACCTGCTTTACCAGTTTGTATTATTACGTTAATACATTATATTCATTTCCTGGCGTTTGTTATTTATTGATACCGGATTTCATCCCGGACTCCACAACAATTACAAAGCGAAGTGGGAAGAACAGCGACTTAATATGTTGCAGGAGGCCATGGAACAGTTGATGCCGGGTATCTTGTTGAACACTTACATCTGAACAGGGAAAGAACTCGTGTTAACTATGTCATCACGAAGAACTCATATAGGCTGGAGTTTAGTTTCTGGCGGGAAAATGGGTAAGTAATATTAGCTCTAGCTCCAGATGACATCCGACAATGACATCCTCTCCTTCGGGATGTGGGAGTACTGGGATAATTACCAAACACCTGAGGTGTTCCCAAAAAGTGGTTCTGAGGAGGCTTGAGCGATTTTTCTACGGTATTGCCGGTAAACCAACTTTAAACTGACCTTGTGCCACATTCGATTGCAACGTGGGCGCATTGATAAATACCCATATCGGTTGTAGTCGCTGCATCGATGATTGGTGTTGCTGTAGAGTGGTACCCGTGCGAGCAAAGACGACTACCTGAAACGTAATTTTAGACGGGAAGACGTGATCAGGAAACCGACTAGATCTTCATGGAGAACAGTTCAAACAACGCAAAAGAATTAACCGCAATGCTGTGACCAACACGGTACCTGGTATTCTAGTCGATCAAGAAGTCAAAGATTATTATTTTTTTGTACTTAGTTGTAACTGGAACATTCGCTAGATAACATTTCCTAATTATGCCAATTTTACAATTGGTGTTTTTGGCATTGTTTCAAACTGCTCTACTATTATAGATAAAACGATAAACATCCAATTTCACTATTTTCGTAACTTTTGGAAGAGTGTCTAGTATTTGCAAATGTCAGTTGAAAATTCACAGGTTTTATTTTCCTTGTTTACGCGTATCAGTTCCAATCTTTTCACATAGATTGGTTAACCGGCCTGAATCTCAAAATCCCAGAGTATCTTATACTTTGTGGCTTCTAAGGAATCCTCTCGCTGGTGCTGATGCAATATTCCATGCATCTATATGAGCATACAAGATGTCGAGTGATTTCCTCATGATATCTTACCATCAGCCGTGTATATAGTCATCACCGATGGGTGAATGGAGGAAAAACAAAAGAAAGAAAGAATGAAAGAAAGAAAGAATAGACAGACAGAGAGAGAGAATGAATATTAAGAAAAAGAAAGAAAGAATTAATAGATTTATAAATAGAAAAGAAAGAATTGAAAGAAAGAAAGGCCAATTTGTATAAATATGTGTAATTGATGATAATTTATTTCAATAACTTTTAATTTATTATGTAACTGTCATCGGTCCTTACCTATAACTGCATAATGAACTCTTCCTAACACTATGTATACTACGCCTCTCAAGAGAGAGGCTCGAATCGAGCC